GACGAGAGTTCAGGAGGAGACGGAAGTTAACGCCAGAGCGCGTAGGGATTCCGCCGTGTTGTCGGCGAAGTTTTTGGTTCGTAGGGACGAGGCCGGAGGTGAAGAGGATTTCCACCTGAGGGGTGACGACTCGAGCTACAAGCAAGAGTGTGTGTTTACCGCTATCGAGCGAAGACGCGGGGCGACAGCTGCGTGTGTGGAGCCGACGTGTTCTGGAGAAGAAGTTTGAAGCTTGGAGAGTGGCCTATTGAAGACGGGAGGTTTCCTGGAAGAGAAACTCCGGCGAGGTTTCCTGGAAGAGAAACTTCGAGGGCTGCGGAACGACAACAACACTGGACTTTGAGTGAGTGATTCTCGGAAGAGTATCATCTAGACTTTGGTTCCAAGAACTTTGGACTGAATAGGTTTTCTATCTCTTTGGTCTTTAAGTGTCTTGGTTGTTCAATGCATGCGACTGCATTGTAGTGCGTATTGTTGTCTGTGTCCGTTGTTTCAAGTGTGGTTGATTGTACTGTGTAGTACATTGTTTGTTTGGTGACGTATCGTATGTAACTATTGTGGAGTGTGCATACGTGTGTATTGTGTTTTGATCTGCCGTTAATGAGAATATAATTTTGTTTGTTTATCAACTCTCGGCTCTGTCTTGTTCTTTGGGCCACAGCCGGCGTCCGCTGGCGCGCCGAATAGAACCACTTCTAAATTGTCCACGCTTTCGTGATGCGGTTCGGGGGGCCGATACTTCGGCCCTTGGAATTAGCCCGGCGATCGCCTCCCTAATTAACGGGACCTGTGTGACAATTAATCTGGCGTCCGCGACAGGACCTTTTGGTGCACAGTGTGTCCAAAGTAGTGAGAAAGAGCCTCGAGTTGTTGATAGTGCTATCGGAAAGATTTTGTGTGTTGTTCAGTGTTCTCGTTAACGAGTGCAGGGGAGTGTTCCGATAGACTGATTTAGGCAGATACTTGTTGCACGCGGCAAGGTTTTATTTGCGAGTTACGAGACACAATGAATCTCGAAAAGTTAGTTGCTCTTGGTGAGAAGATGTGTCTTTCTGGCGCCGAACTGCGGAAGTGGGTAAGCCAGAAGGAGAAAGAGGCGGTGGAGAGAGAGAGGTTGGCAGCTGAGAGAGCTAAAGAAGAAAAAGCAGCTGAGTTAGAACGAGAGAGGTTGGCAGCTCAAAGGGCGAAAGAAGAAAGAGAGGCAAAGGAGCGACAGCTGAAGGAAGAAAGAGAGCAGCAGTTGAAGTTGGAGCTGGAGAGAGAAAAGCTGGCGGCTGAGAGGGCGAGAGAAGAAAGAGAAGCGGAGATGGCTGAAAGGGAGCGGCAGCGGCAGCACGAGATGGAACTCGAGCGGCTCCGTTTGCAACAGCGAAGTGAAACTCCGGTCCAAGCTAGAGTTGAAAGCAGCGAACGGGAAGATCACGGCTTCCGCTTGAACCCAAGCAAGCTGCTCGTAGCGTTTGATGAAAGGAAGGACGACCTTGACGCGTACCTTCACCGATTTGAGACGATTGTGAGGAGCCAGTATTGGCCAGAACATCAATGGGCAACTGCCTTGAGTACTTGCTTGAGTGGTGAAGCGCTCAGTGTGTACGGTAGGCTGACGCCGACCGATGCAGCCAACTACACAAAGGTGAAAGCTGCTTTGCTCAAGCGATTTAGATTTACTGTAGAAGGATTCCGGGACAGATTTCGGACAGGAAAACCAGCTGATGGTGAGATGGCTACGCAGTATGCCGCCCGACTTTGCCATTATTTCGACAGATGGATTGAACTTTCAGGGACAGCGCAGGAGTACGATGAACTTAGAGAGCTCCTAATTAGAGAACAGTTTCTTACTAGTTGCCACCCAAGCCTGTCGCTGTATTTGAAAGAGAGGAAGGCTGAGTCACTTGAAGACATGCTTGAATTGGCTGATCAATTCTTGGAAGCGCAAGGTGGAACTAATTTGGCCAAGGTAAAGAAGGAGTGTCCCGATGATTCGAAGAAATTGGCTCCCGAAGAAAAGAAGCGTGCACCAGAGAGCATTACGCGATGTTTTCTGTGCAACCGAGTGGGTCATCGCGCGAAAAAACTGTCGAACGATCTTTACGAGCCCTACGGCAGTAAAATGTTTCAAGTGTGGTCAGACTGGGCACAAAGCAGATGCATGTCGGAACGGAGTGAGTCAAACTCACCAGGTATCCTGTGTGCAAGCAGCACCGAAATCTGATAATAATGCCGTCACTGATGGATTCGTAGAGTTGAAGAATGGGGAGAAAATTCCTATTGTGGGTGCTGTAATGTCAAAACAGCCAACCGGTGTTACGAAAGGAATGCCAACGCTGCCTGGAAAGGTTGCGGGCAAGAAGATTACGGTTCTAAGAGATACCGGTAGCTCCACGGTTATCGTGCGGAGAAATTTGGTACGGGAAAGTGAGTTGACAGGCAGATCGAAACCGGTTTGCCTAATTGACCGTACAGTCCGGATGCTTCCCGAAGCAGAAATTGAGGTTGAAACCCCGTACTTCAGCGGGAAGGTTACTGCTTTATGTATGACGACCCCCCTGTACGACCTTGTCATCGGAAACATCGACGGGGCGCGAGGACCGAATGATCCGGAATGTTTGGGAGAAGACCCGAAGATAGAGCCCTCGCCAACCCAGCGACCGCGAGATACAGTGGAGGAGCATCCCGTGACGGATCTCACTAGAGCCCAAGGGGAAGCCGCGGCGCAAGAGACAGTGAGTGAGAAGTTGATGGTGTTGAATGAGTTCGCGGGCCGGGTAACTGGACTTACGTCAGCACGACCTCAACCGACCGACAGTGCAAAGAAGACGGAGTTGGCCAGCCAGGCCAAATGTCGGGACGTGAACAAGCGGGTGACAGGATCGGTTGAGCGTTATCACCCGTTAACAGTGTCAGAAGTGACAATGATGGCTGAGACGCCGCCTCAGACCCCGTCGTTGGAGAAGGCTCGCCGAAAAAGAACAAGGAAAAACAAGACGAAATCGAGTGAGCACCACAAGAAAGGACGCATGCGCAGCTCGAAATACACAGGATAGGTGCTGAGGTCGAATCAGAATATGTTTGGCAGTGCTGAGTGCCATATGTTGTGTTAATGTTGTGTTATCCTGTGTCACAAGTGTCGAAGTGTTTGTGCTGTGATGTGATGTATAGTGTTGTATAATTGTTGTAATGAGAGAACTTAGTACATTTGTATTATTGGGGATGTGTGGTGGAGTGTTGTAGTCATGTGCCTGTGGTTATATTTCATGTGTTGTGTAATTGAACTACAATGTAAGATTGTATGGAGCGATCTATTGCGAATGTGAAGTGTCATGAGCGACGGTTTGTGTTACAGTCTTTCAGAGTGAGTGGTGACTGTTCGCGCTCGTTTGTGTGGTTTTGAATATTATGAGATAATATTCTTAAAGTGGGGGGCAGTGTCACAGAACGAGCGCTAAAACGGGCGCGCCGCCAAATGCTTGCGATAACGCGCCCAGAGAGACGCGGCGAGGTCAACGAAAAAAAAAAGAAAAGAGAAAACAAGCATCCAAGGCTCCCCGGGCGCGCGACGCCTCTCCTCTCGGAAGCGTGGCTTCACCGATGAACCTCCTCACCCCACAGCGGCGGCCGGGCAAGCACTGGAACGTTCCAGAAGGAAATGGGCGTGTATGCCGCGTTGACTCATCTGTCGGGGACGGCCCCCGTACAGTCTCGCGCCTCTCCCCAGCCTTCGCTGCGTATCGCGCCGACGAAATGACAAGAACTTTCTAGAATGTGGCGCGGAAGGTATTTAATCGAGCGGCCGAGACGAGAGATCAGGAGGAGACGGAAGTTAACGCCAGAGCGCGTAGGGATTCCGCCGTGTTGTCGGCGAAGGTTTCGTCCGTAGTGACGAAGCAGGAGATGAAGAGGATTTCCACTTGAGGGGTGACGACTCGAGCTACAGGCAAGAGTGTGTGTTTACCGCTATCGAGAGAAGACGCGGGGCGACAGCTGCGTGTGTGGAGCCGACGTGTTCCGGCGAAGAAGTTTGAAGCTTGGAGAGTGGCCTATTGAAGACGGAAGGTTTCCTGGAAGAGAAACTCCGGCGAGGTTTCCTGGAAGAGAAACTTCGAGGGCTGCGGAACGACAACAACACTGGACTTTGAGTGAGTGATTCTCGGAAGAGTATCATCTAGACTTTGGTTCCAAGAACTTTGGACTGAATAGGTTTTCTATCTCTTTAGTCTTTAAGTGTCTTGGTTGTTCAATGCATGCGACTGCATTGTAGTGCGTATTGTTGTCCGTGTCCGTTGTTTCGAGTGTGGCTGATTGTATTGTGTAGTACGTTGATTGATTGGTTTGATTGGTGACATATTGTATGCAACTATTGTGGAGTGTGAATTTTTGTGTATTGTTTTCGATCTGCCATTATTGAGAATATAATTTGTTTGTTTATCAACTCTCGGCTCTGACTTGTTCTTTGGGCCACAGCCGGCGTCCGCTGGCGCGCCAAAAAGGACCACTTCTAAATTGTCCACGCTTTCGTGGTGCGGTTCGGGGGGCCGATACTCCGGCCCTTGGAATTAGCCCGGCGATCGCCTCCCTAATTAACGGGACTGGTGTGACATTCGACCATCTGGTGTTCCTTGACATGCACTGCCATCGCACAGCACATGGGCTTCTGCCATTCGGCCTCCATCAAAATACGACCGTCACTGCCGGGACCGCACTCACGACCTTTGGGTCAGCAGCTGAGCACCGTAGACGCTGTTCCACCAAGGTGGACAAATGTTTGCTTTTGAAGCCTACATTGAGCATTTCCATGAAGGCTTGGTGTGAAATGGCAAGACCGAACTTGTTTGTGGTGCACATTTCCACACATTGTAGGCCAACTGTTTATTTTTTGACAAAGAAAAAATTCAGCAGATCCCACGTACCTGCTAATCGACGTTATGCGAAGCATGCGGAGGGAAGGTGACCCTGTTGAAAATTTTTTATTGAGTGACACGCCATGGAATGAGTGGGCACGGCGGCGTCGTAAAGATGCAGCCTTCAAACCCGTTCCTGTTTATCCCGCAGATTGGAACCCTGCTGCTTCTTCTAGGCCTTTCTGCAGCATGTGCGGAGCGACAACCAATGCTTCGACCTACTTTCAACGGCGATATGGATCTGCTGATAAACCCAGCCTCAACTGACGAACGCTACCGGTCCTTCAACGATGGCGCTGGTGTTACATCGTCAGAGCCTCTGGGATCACCGATGACGTCACCATGTAACGATCCTTTAAAAGACAGCGCTTACGGCACAATCGGCAGTGGGCACGGCGGCGTCGTAAAGATGCAGCCTTCAAACCCGTTCCTGTTTATCCCGCAGATTGGAACCCTGCTGCTTCTTCTAGGCCTTTCTGCAGCATGTGCGGAGCGACAACCAATGCTTCGACCTACTTTCAACGGCGATATGGATCTGCTGATAAACCCAGCCTCAACTGACGAACGCTACCGGTCCTTCAACGATGGCGCTGGTGTTACATCGTCAGAGCCTCTGGGATCACCGATGACGTCACCATGTAACGATCCTTTAAAAGACAGCGCTTACGGCACAATCGGCAGTGGGCACGGCGGCGTCGTAAAGATGCAGCCTTCAAACCCGTTCCTGTTTATCCCGCAGGTGAGCAGACGCTATGACAAGTCTTTTCGCAGTAACGATGTCTGCCTAATTCTGCTGCCGTGCCCACGGTCGCTTCGTGAAGCCTTTTGTAAACTGATTGTTTCCTTGCGCTTGTTGCTACTGTTGAGCGGAGATGTTGAGTTGAACCCAGGCCCTGCACTAGACGCCATAGCCGAACAGCTAAAGCAAATTGCAGGAGACATTCAAGATATTAAGAAAGAAAAATCCGCAACAAACACCAGACTTGACGCGATTGACAAAAAACTTGAAAAGATAACTGGCCTTGAAAAACAGGTCACTGAGTGCAATAAACGAATATCTAACTTAGAAAAAACCTAAAGGCTATGCAAATGAAAGTGGATGATCTAGAAAACCGGAGCCGTCGGTCCAACCTTGTCATTTACGGTGCTGAAGAACAACAAAATGAATCGCCAGACATGCTTGTCGAGTTGGTCGAAAAGAAGATTTTAGATGGTGTGCTACAGATAAAAACCAAGGGAATCGAAATAATCCACCGTCTAGGAAAAAAGAAGCCAGTTGGTATATCTAGACCCAGACCCATTATTCTAAGACTACTCGATCATCGAGACAAAGTTTCAATCCTCAGACAGTGTTCAAAGCTGAAGGGCTCAGGTTTCTCTATCAGTGAAGACTTTTCTCGTAATACTCGGGACATTAGAAAGAAACTGTGGGATCGAACGAAAGAACACCGGGACAGGCAAGAAAGGGTGTCACTGGTGCGCGATAAAGTGCGAATCAACGGTCAACTTTTTGCTTGGGATAGTGAACGAGAAGATATATATGCAGTGAAAAAAAACGAAGTTGGCATAGAAAAAAGAGTCACTCGAAGTCGACAGAAGTAACCCTGTTGAATGTGAACGCACGTAGTCTTGTAAATAAAGTAGATCAATTCGAAGCTCTCCTTCTAGAAATTAAACCTGACATAGTTGCTGTCACGGAAACATGGCTGTACTCGGACATCCTAGACCATGAGGTCACGCCGCCAGGTTATGTGATTGTGCGCAAAGATAGAGAGACTAGAGGAGGGGGCGTGGCACTTTTTTTCAAGAAGGAATTGCGCTACTCTGTCTTACCGGGCAACCCTAGCATTGAAGCGGTATGGTGCAAAGTGCAGCTGCAAAGGGGCTGTGTATTTGTTGGAGTTATTTACCGACCACCTAATGCTGAGACAAGTTATCTGGAACTTCTTCTGGATTATATGCACGATCACGTGACGGGTGGTATGATCATCATGGCTGGAGATCTCAATCTGCCTGAAATAGAATGGTCATCAAAAAAAGTGCGAAGTGCTGCAAATGACGTCATATTAGATATGTTGTTCAATTTTAACCTCGAACAACTGGTGCGCGTCCCCACACGTGTACAGGGCGTATCCAGCTCTATTCTAGATGTTGTGCTCGTTAGTGATCATTTTCCAGAAGACCAGGCGCGCATCGAAATCTTAGACGGAATATCTGATCACAACTCAGTCCTATGCACACTGCCTCTATCTGGTCTTTCTAGAATCCATAGCCCCGATAGACACGTTCTTGCCTTTAACAGAGCAGACGACGCAGCAATAATAACATATCTTAATCACGAATTCCTTGCCTTCTATGATCTTTGCATGGACAAAAATTTATCAATGGATCACATATGGTTACAATTCAAGGCACGTGTCATTCATTGCATTGAGAACTTTGTCCCCACACAGCGAAAAATTACAAGAAAGCATAATGCCTGGATCACACGTGACATAATTCATATAAAACGTAAAATCAGTAGGCTGAGGAAAGCTAGGAGGTCTAGCTCACGAGCTGGCTACACCGCTCAGATCGCCACTTTATCAAGAACACTGAAAAGCAAAGTACGCTCTTCAAAAATTCACTATTTTGGTACCACGCTAGCAAAATTCATCAAAACCTCGCCAGGAAAATTTTGGCGCTATGTAAGTGGCAAACACAGTGGCCAAAACGCCTCCCCCCCGATAGACACAAAAGATAAGGCAGACAATTTCAACCGCTACTTTCAGTCCGTCTTTACGATCGATAATGGGCTAGTGCATCATCCCGAGATTAGGCCACCCACTGACAAGAAGTTATCTAAAACTCCGGAAATAACTGAAAGCGGTATACTAAATCTGCTGTTAAACCTCGATGATAAAAAGAGTTGTGGTCCAGATGGGATACCGAACGCTTTTCTCAAACGGTATGCGGAACCGGTTAGTAAGTACCTGCGCTTACTATTTACAAAATCTATTCAAGATTCGCAGATTCCCTCTGAATGGAAACTTGCAAAAATAATCCCTGTGCATAAATCTGGGGACAAATCGACTCCATCAAACTACAGGCCCATTTCCTTAACTTGCACTAGCTGTAAGCTACTCGAGCACATTATCCTTAAATTCATTACAAAGTTTGTCGAAGAAAATAACCTATTACACCCCAACCAACACGGTTTCCGGAGAGGCCTATCGACCGTAACGCAACTAGCTGAAACAATTCACGATCTGGCCGAAGCCATTAATCAACACTCCCAAATTGATATAATCTTTATGGATTTTTCAAAAGCGTTCGACCGGGTTTCCCATGAAAAGCTAGTTTTCCAGCTGGTTTGCAAACTCGGGGATGGGCCAGTGACCCGTTGGATATCCAACTATTTGTCCGGTCGCCAACAATTTGTACACTGCAGTGATCACGTCTCTGACACATTAAACGTTACGTCCGGTGTTCCTCAGGGATCCGTCTTGGCACCGATATTATTTCTTCTATTCATAAACGATCTAACAGTCAACATTAACGCAAACATAAGGCTTTTTGCAGACGACTGCATATTGTACAAACAGGTTAAAAGCTCCAGAGACCAAACTGAACTGAACGATGCCCTGAACGACGTTGTACGATGGTGTTCTAACTGGCAAATGGTGATTAATTCTGACAAAACAGTCGCCATGCAAGTAACAAAAAAGAAATCACGTCTACCTTTCCATTACGGTTACAACAGCATCGTGCTACGAAATGTAAGCCAGTATAAATATCTTGGTGTGACTATAACTTCCGATCTCAGTTGGACAGTACACCTAGAAGACATAGCCGAGAAAGCCTTAAAAAAATTATTCTTCCTTAAGCGGACGCTGCGCCACGCTGACCGCGACACTAAGCTTCTAGCATACGTCACACTTGTCAGACCAATCTTGGAGTATGCGAGCATAATCTGGTTTCCATTCACGGATAGTGGTATCAGCACGCTTGAAAGAGTGCAGCGCAAAGCGATTAGATTTATTTTTAACCGGTATCGTCGCCTCGACTCCCCAACACAATTACTACGCCACGCAGATTTGCCGACACTCGAAAGTCGAGCAAAATTCATCGCCTAAAGTTCTTATACCTGTTATTGCACAACTGTCTTAAAATAGACCACGCTAAATACGTGAAAACCAAGACAACAAGGCAAACACGTCACACACATGATCACACACTCCAAGAGTACTCTTGCAACAATAACACATTCTATTATTCTTTTTTTCCTAGATGCATTCGAGAATGGAATGCTCTTGACCGACTTATAGCCGAACAGCGTACAGTTGATGACTTTCTAGCAATGTTGCAAAATACACATAGCACTTAATCATAACGCTGATTACATAGTATGTATTGTATTTTCATTTCCTTGTGTACTTCCTTGAATTGACTTGCTTGCCAACATTTGTGTTTGTATTTGCACCAACTTTTACAGCTATGATTTATTATCCTTCTTTTCTTTTCTACGGGTGTAAAATATGTTTAATGCGCCCACTACCACTTTAACTCGTACATGCAGCCTCCTTAATTTGAACTTGTTGAGAAAGGCTGCTCGGTCCAAAATTGATTGTTACTATTGATGTGAATGTTTTCTGTTTTTCTTTTGTTCCCCTTCGCTCCCACTCCTGTAATAACCCTGCAAAGGGTTAACAGTATGTGAAAATAAATAAATGAAAATAAATAAATAAATAAATATATGCACAAATGTTGCATGCACAGACATATGTTGAATGTTGCAGATGTTTGATTGTGTAGATTGATTTGTGGGGTTTTACGCACCAAAACCACCATATGATTATGAGAGACGTCGTAGTGGAGGGCTCCGGAAATTTCGACCACCTGGGGTTCTTTAACGTGCGCCCAAATCGGAGCACACGGGCCTACAACATTTCCGCCCCCATCGGAAATGCAGCCGCCGCAGCCGGGATTCGATCCCGCGACCTGCGGGTCAGCAGCCGAGTACCTTAGCCACTAGACCACCGCGGCGGAGTGGTTGCAGATGTTATATAACATGTTGTTTGTACTTGCGCAACGATGCCGAATGAAATTTGCGTATTACGAGGTTGTTCCTGACGACGTTACGAACTCTCAACGGTGCCGTTTTTGACCTGAAGTTGTGCATGTCGTGTGCCTATATAACCATTTCATGCGCGAACCTGAGGACTATAATTTGTTGCTGTTGTGTGTGTTTATTGTCTTTATTGTTGTACATTCGTCTTTTGTTAGAGCATCGGGACGATGCCTTTTTTAGAGTGGGGGGGGCAATGCCACGTTTCATTCACGTTTTATCATCACCCCGTTACACTACGTTCAACGCAAACCGCCCCTACGATGTTTTCACTGGTCCCGTTAATTCAGGAGGCGATCGCCGGGCTAATTCCAAGAGCCGAAGTATTGGCCCCCCGAACCGCATCACGAAAGCGTGGACAATTTAGAAGTGGTTCTATTCGGCGCGCCAGCGGACTCCGGCTGTGGCCCAAAGAACAAGTCAGAGCCGAGCGTTGATAAACAAAACAAAATTATATTCTCAATTATGGCAGATCAAAAACAATACACAAGTATGCACACTCCACAGTAGTTGAATACAATATGTCACCAACCAAACAACGTACTACACAGTACAATCAGCCACACTCGAAACAACGGACACAGACAACAATACGCACTACAATGCAGTCGCATACATTGAACAACCAAGACACTTAAAGACTAAAGAGTTAGAAAACTTATTCAGTCCAAAGTTCTTGGAACAAAAGTCTGAATGATACTCTTCCAAGAATCCCTCACTCAAAGTCCAGCGTTGTTGTCGTTCCGCTGCCCCCGAAGTTTCTCTTCCAGGAAACCTCGCGTCTTCAATTGGCCACTCTCCAAGAATCAAACTTCTTCGCCGGAAACACGTCGGCTTCCCACACGCAGCTGTTGCCACGCGCCTTCGCTCGATAGCGGTAGACACACCTCTTGCCAGTAGCTCGAGTCTTCACCCCTCAGGTGGAAATCCTCTTCTTCTCCTCCTTTGTCACGGAAGACAAAAGGCTTCGCCCGCAAGGCGGAACACCCTACGCACTCTGGCGCATACTTTCTTCTTCTCCTGCTTTGTCACTAAGGACAAAACCTTCGCCGACAGACACGGCGTAATACCCTATGCACACTGGCGTGAAATTCCTTCTTCTCCTGATCTCCCATCTCTGCTGCTCGGTTAAATGCCTTCCGCGCGAGATTCCAGAAAATTCTCATCATTTCGTCGGCGCGATGCGCTGCGAAGGCTGGGGGGAAGCGCGAGTCGGTACGAGGGCCGTCCGCGACGGATGACGCATCCCTGCATCACCACGCCCCTTTCCATCGAGAACGTTCCAGGGCTTGCTCGGGCGCCGATGAGAGGAGGTTCGTCGGTGAACCCACGCTTCCGAGGGGAGAGGGACGCGCGCCCGAGGAGTCTTTGGATGCTTGTTTTCTTTTTTTTATAGTTGATCGAAGCATCCTTCCGGCGCCTTGTCGCGAGAATTTGGCGGCGCGCCCTTTTTGAGCGCTGGTTATGTGACACTGCCCCCCACTATAAGAATATTATCTCATAATATTCAAAACGACACAAACGAGCGCGAACAGTCCCCACACTCTC